GCATTCTAGTCCTTATACCATGAGCCAGACATCTTGCCAGGTCTCCCTCCTCATGAGTTTCCCTAGAAGACATCTTACCTTCGCATCTAGAAGCATCCACCTTTCACTTTTGTCTTGCTTCACTTGTGTACGTTGTTTTCTATCCAAGGAATTTTGCCATCCATGTGAATAAATATCTTTGTAACTGTAATGCTTTCTCCTTCTCGATTTTAGAATGAACTTTATTTTAAGAAGAATAATGTTTATTGTAAATCAGTGCTATACAGTAATTACAGGTTAAAAATAAAAAAGGATAAAAGGGAGAATGAGCTTTTCTTTTATAAGAACTTTTGAAATAGTATATGTGAACGCCATTTGAAATCATTTACTAAACACATGAGGTGCATTAGCTAGAACTGAAACACAATATTTTTGGATTACACACACGAAAAGCCATAAGAAGCAATCATTTAAAAGGTGGTATTCATTTGTGGTGGAAAAAAGTTACTGTTGTGTTCAGACTGAATTGTCTGACTCTAAGTTGGGTAGTGTATAATAAATTGTATTGTTGCCTTGACTACTGGCTCTCCTCTCTCGTTGAATCCCCTAGGCAGGGAGATATGGTTCCTACCTCATTGATGTAGGGCTTGGTCACGTGACTTGATCTGGCTAAGACAACATGAGTGACAGTTAAAGCACGCCAGTTATGAGTAAAATGTTTAAGAAACATGGAAAGTTTCTGTTGGATCTCCTATTGCTCCCATCTCCACCATGACAACTGTATGCCCATTGTGTCCCTAAAGCCTGGTCCCTGAGGAGAAAAACCCATGGACCAGATTTAGACTTCCTCTGCCTGGAGAAAAGCCACAGACCCTGATCTGTGGCCACTGATAGACAATGTGAGTGAGAAATAAGGATTTGTTTTTATCAGCTCCTGAGATATCGAGGTTGTTTGTTACATGGCATTATCACATCCAAACCTGATTAACACAGCTTAAGGATGGAATTAAGTTCCACAAAATTGGAGAACTTGGTAATCAACATGACACTCACTAGGAACTTGGAAGGACATGAAATTCATTGTCTAAATGAAATGCTCTAACCACATAGTCATTGGAGGTAGGTCCATGGTTTCTATAGAGGAGATATTTGCACAGATGTCAAATATGACACCCTATGGTCAGAGGTTGCCATCCCTCTACTCAGGTGCACGTCTAGGCTTTGCTCTTAGAACAGAGAAAGAGAGGGTGTCCACCAAAGTGATTCCTTCATTCTTTAGGGATGGATTGTTTGCTGTTTCTGAGAAAGAGAATAAGAAATAGCCGAATCAAGTCTTTTCTGAAATAAGGCCCTGAGCAGATTGATTTGGTCCGCCAAATCCCAAAGCTATCTACTATGAAGATATGAGGATCTCCATTACCCCAAACCTATGCAAATGAGGACTAACAAGAGAAAAACCTCAAAGCTACTTCCTGTTTAATGAGACAGAGAATGTTTGATGACTCACAGGTGTGGGCGAAAAGAGCCTGTTGGCCTCTCCTAACTCAATATCTGGGTCCAGGGCCCAGATCAGATATTGTAGATGTCTGCATAGGGGACACTGCTTGGTGCATCTCTTTGACTAGCTGTAGAAGAAAGAGACAACGTAGTTGTGAACGTCAGTGGAGGAGGGGGTGCCCACACTCAGCGGGGATGGATCAATAGATGCCTCTTTGTTACTGTTGGTCAATGAAGCAGAACCAGGACCTTGAACAGAAGCAGCGATAACTCTGGTGGCCACCTTGATCCAGGCAGAGGCTCATCAGAAGGCCCACTTCAGTCTTAGCTCTTGAGTTGTGGATAGAAGAGAGTTCTTGGGTATCTTTAGTGGTTGGTTGGTTGAGGTCCCAACACTGAAGGACGGGGTGGTCCATCTCAAGTTATAAGACCTCTCAATGGAGCCATTGCACAATCAGATCTTCCTGAAGTTGGTTTTCTGTCTCCAATCACCGGAATATTGTCATCTTTTGGTTGTATATTTCTTGCTCAGGCAACCAACGTGCTTTTTCTGCCCAGCAATAGCTCTTTTCTACAGTATGAGACTCGGCTGGTAACCACAGGCTCTTTGTAAAATAAAGACTTGATTTTTTTAAAAAATATCTTTTCAAAGTTTCCTCTCCATTTTTTATTTTTCTGTTTGCCTCTTAGAGCTTCCGCTCTTTCCCTCCCACTCCCAGTCTTGCAGACTCAGCTGCTTCTGCAAAGCCAGGTCTGTCTGCTCATAGAATCATTAAGAAACTCAACTTTCAGATGTAAGCCTTTCCATCCATTTCCAAGCTGAGCTTTAACCAACTGAATGGAGCAAGATTCACGTTGCTCTCATGTAACTGAAATCTTTCCTCACCCCGTTTTGGTTACAAATTCTCTTAGCTTCTATTGCTAATAGTTTTACCCAGAAAATATTTGTCAGTTTTTCTTCTTTAGCTTTTATTTTCTCTCTCCAGTGGTTGGCCAGCTCTGCCTTGCTTGATACATTCCATGGCTTGCTTTCTTTTCATTATTTTCGCTCCTACCCTGAGAATCAAGATGGCGTACAATCCATTTCATCCCCAATATACAAAAAAAGAGGATAGTCATTTAGCCTCTTCTTTTTAACAAAAAAATAATAGAATTATAAGCATATTTAAATAGAAGGAAAATAAGCTTTTCTTCTCAGAACTATACACTTGGGAACTGGGGAGAAGGGATTTTAATAACCATGCTGAGGTTTCTGGCTATTTTGCCATAATCCAAGTATAGCATCTTTATTATGGAGCACTATAATTTTCTAGTTTAGCAATACATGTTTTTTTTTAATATAGTATTATGCTAAAAAGTAGAATTGGGTGTTTGGATCTCTTCAAATTTAGGTTAGCTTATAGTTTTATGATTGGCTCTGATTTTAACCTGAGTACAGACACACCCTCTTAATCTTGCACAGGTAATGTTTATGCACTTACCCATATTCCTGGTCAGGAATGCATTCATTACATAGTCATCTTTTAAATACACATTTCAAAAAGTATTTTTCTTTTTAGAAGGCAGAATCCCTATCTATTCCCACCACCTCCCACAAAAATAAAAGATATAATAAAATAATCAGGCCATACACATTAAAACAGTCGCAGGAACATTTTTTGAAGGTCACGTTCACCTTACATACAGACAGGGGGTCAGTCCCTCCTATAACCCCAAAGACATGGATCTCACATTGTATCATTCCTTCTTAAAAATTGGGCTATATATCTTTTTGTTCATGAATAACTGAGAGCCTACCTGAATTTGGTGGAGAAATAATTCATAGGAATTTCCCTCCAGATGCAAAATGAATTTGCATTCCAAATTAGAACAGACAGCCTAGGATCTTCACTCCATGTTTCTTATATTCAGCAATATCTTATTAAAGCTTCCATAAATAGAGCTGGGGCTACAATTTGTCTTATCGGCTCAGAATCTGAACTCTGATGCCTATAGTTACCATTTCTACCCACTTTCCAAGATCATTCTCTCTTTTATTGCTCACGACAACCCTGATAGATAAGAATTTTCTTTATCCCTCTTTACAGATAAGGAACTTGAATTTCTGGAGTGGATAATGAACTTTCCTGGGGTCCTATAGCAAGTGAGGCCAATGAATACACAAATCCAGGTCTTTTGAACCAAATTGAAGACTCCTTGCACTATATGGCTGCCACTGCCCCACTGCGTAACCGGAAAGGCACTGTTTGGTTTATTAAAATATTAATTACTTGACTTTGAACTCTAGGTTACCTTTAAAACTTTAAACATGTTAAAACCTCATCCATCTTCTGCACGTAAAATTGCTCGTCCCAACTGGACCCTGCGAGAAGGGCTGTGTGACTCAGTTGCCCGCAGTCCCAAGCATGGGGCAGGGCTGTGTTCCCGGAGGTGCTCGCCAGGAACAACCCCTTAATAACCATGTCTGGCATCCAATTCTCAGTCTTGCATTAACACTCTTGAAGGCATGGGAAGGGGCGGGTGCTACGGTGGATCCTAGGAACACAAAATCCTGGTCCCAGCCTTCACAAAGCAGCCGCGTGATGGAGATCAGTTTTCTGTGAGATGGGCTCCCAGCACTACGGGGTCCTAGGGTGGTCCCATCCACTCCTCACTCCTTTTCCCCTGGCCCTTCTCCAGCAGATCCCTGCCTGCCTGGATAGGAGCCACAGTCAAGACTGGGGCCAGTTTTATTTCCCAATTCTACTTGGGCAGCGGTTTACTCAAAAAATATTTTTCCAATATATTTATGCCAATAAAGATCTGATTTAGGATACTTCACATATGAGTCACAGTAAAACCTAGTAGTCATAAAACCCCCCAAAAACTCAGAAGTGGCAAATAGTTTACAAGAAACACATCCCACTTGGAAAGCCGCCACAAATACACTAAAAATTCAGCTATTTACACTTAAATTCTAGTTTTACGGTCTTTTGGAAAGCAGAGGTTCAGAATATCAAGCTTAAACAAGTAGGATCCAATTAAGGATTCTGCCACTAGATGGAGAAATTGCCCCAATCTAGCACATGCGCAGTTCTGGTTCACTGCTGGGAACACCAGCAGGAAAGATATTTACAAATGTCCTATCTTTCAAACTACCGTGACAACTCCACCTTACATTTACAAACTATAACTTTCTGTTAGTTCACTTTATGTACTTTTGCTTGAATCAGACAGATATCCCATATTAATCTTTATGACATCAGTAGGTCCTACATTCTGTCAATTCTCCACATTCAATGATTCAGTGTCGAGTATTTAAATCTCTTGAAAATCATTTAAAACCTTTTGCATTTTTTTGGCAATCAGCACTGAGTAAATATATGCAAATTTCACTTCCAGTTCTGCAACTGATTAGATAAAAAATATTAAAGTCCATAACAGATTGAAATGTTTCTTGGGGAAAAAAGTCTTTCCCACCAGTTAAAACAAACAGCAAAATCTCACCCAAAAAGAGGAGTTGTCTGATCAATAACTGGACCGACCAAATTTTGCATATTGCCTTTATTTTGCAGAAAATGCTTTCTGCTGATTGTCTTTGGCTACTTTGTCAAAAGAAAAATACAAACAGTTGTAGCTTTAACAATACAAAAGATTAGCTACCTGTGCTCAGAATAAACACATTCTAGTGGGCAGAGCAGGCAACCCCATTTCAACTAAAATCTGCTGTCCTCCACTCTGATACCAGCCCGTCCTTCACAGCTCAGCTCCAACTATGACACCTGCCACCAAGGGACCTGAAAATGACTCAAAAGCAACAAGGAAGAGGATTCAGAGTGTGCTCTTTATCTCGCTAAAGTAAGACCAGGGGAGTTTACAAATTCTGAGGTGCGAAAGTCATCTATGCGCTCTATGAGAAACAAACAAAAAGTTTCTGGACCCTAGCAAATAATTTATATTGTCAATCGTGGTGAATTAGGCCCACTGCCTTGCTGCCATAGTTGAATTCACCCACAACACATAAATGACTCAGGACGGCACAGCCACGGCAGACGATGGGCAAAGGGTGGTGCTGGTGGGACTCTGATGAATAACAGGACACGTATTCCTCCTCTTATTTTAAAGTGAGGTTAATAAGGCCTATTTCCTTTCCTTGACCCATGAAATTGCCACTTAGTACCTAGGAGATCAATCAAATCAACACTTGTTGCCACAACCTAGAAGTCCTTGTGTCTTCTAAGACACAGACCTTGATTCACATGGAAGGCGGCGACACAGGTGTCCATGAGGCTATGAGGCGAGCTTGGGCCGAGGCATCGTACTGGCTGTCAGGAATGTCTGTGGCCGTGGCGGTCCCTTCATACAGTGGGGATCCCGAGGAGGAAGGAGCCGAGACCGGGTGGGCGAGGGGTGCAGCGTGTGTGGGGGAACCTCGAAAGAACTGGGCTCCCAGCCCGTTGGACATCGCCGCCGTCTGGGCGCCTGGCGTGATGGTGCCGTTGCTCACAGACCACAGGCTGGGGTACTGACTGAAATGGAAAAACGGAAAAGCACGGACAAGTCAGAGACCTGGGGGAGGCTCCAGACCATCTGCAGGCGGGGAAAACAAACGCCAAATACTCCCATTCCTCGTAGCTGGGTTACAGGGCGTCTTTCCTACAAACAGCTCCTTTCCTCTGTGTTATTAAACCATACTCTGGGCTGCATAGAAGTTATTGTCATATCTATTAAGAAACAAAATGACTGGCAAGCTGATTAAAAAGGTTATTTACATACACGTATCTCCTGCTACAAAAGACTGGGCTAGCAGTTTTGCACCCTTGTTCAGAATCCAAAATACAGAATACACTGAATCAAACATTTCAGAGGATGGGCTTAAGCATCTGTGCCAGCTGCTCCTCCACCGCGGTGATTCTTATGATGGAGGCAACACCCTCCTAAAACAATAAGCTGTGAAAGACATTCTTTATAGTAATTCCCACATAGGCACCATTCCTGCACCTTGTCAAGACAAATGTTAGTGGCGCTGGGAATTAGACCCGGAAGCAAATCCCAATTCTGCCCTTAACTAGTCGAGTAACGTGACACTGGCCCGCGACTACTTTTGAGGCTGTTTCCCATTCGATGAAAGAAGGAGTTGGAAACAGCTATTAAATCTTCCAGTCTAAGAACATAGATTTGAACAATACTAAACCGTGTTAAAATCATTTTGAGAAAATTTCTTTTTCTCATAGAAGAATCCTATAAATGAATGAGACGTTACACTACATCATGCTATTTTGTTTACCAAGTTATGCCCTGTATTTCAGTTGCATTTGAACTTGCAAACAAGTCTGAGTTAAATGAGGTTACTATCCCCATTTTACGAGGAAAAGAAATGAGGCTCTGAGATGCCCAGTTGGAGGGGTACTGAAATCCTCAGGTCAGGGCCCCGTTCCCAGCTTGTAATCTGCAAGTCATCCTATTTATATGCAGGTTTCTAACTGAACTTGGAACCCTTGAAAAGTTTGCTGGTTTCTGCATTATTTGCTTTATTTATTTATTTATTTTTTAAAGATTTTATTTTTTCCTTTTTCTCCCCAAAGCCCCCCGGTACATAGTTGTGTGTATTCTTCGTTGTGGGTTCTTCTAGTTGTGGCATGTGGGACGCTGCCTCAGCATGGTCTGATGAGCAGTGCCATGTCCGCGCCCAGGATTCGAACTGACGAAACACTGGGCCGCCTGCAGCGCAGCGCGCGAACTTAACCACTCGGCCACGGGGCCAGCCCCTATTTGCTTTATTTTTAAGAGCAATTAGATTCTTACTATAAAGGAACTGGCTCCTAGACAAAAAGAATTAAGATCTTAGGCATATTTTGATATTCTATATGCAATAAACTGCCTTGCTTTTGAAGTCAAGATAATTTGTCTAGAGACTCGCTCTGCTCTGAGCCAATGCCTGTGAAATCATTTAATGTCTTTGAGCCCATTTCCTCATTGGAAAATGAGCATTGACTACTAGCTTTGTTATTTTAGTTTCTTATTATAATAATCCTATGAAGAAATGTGATACATTTACTGACAAGCTTGATTTCTGAAGCCAGTCTCCCACTACACAATTTTCAAGTTAAGAATAAAATAGTCATCATTCTTTACTAGTTATCGGCATATATGTTAAGGCCACAGAAGGCCTATAGCCACAGAAAAGCCAACAAACTTATTACTCTAATAGCTCCTGTCAAAAAATGTTTTGGAAATGAAAAACATTCTTAAAACATATCTTTGAAATTCACCAACTGGCCCCTACAAGCCTGTAAAGACAGGCTGAGGAGTATCTTTTTCTTGAAGAAAACGAGGTTCAGAGAATTTAAGAGACTTGTCCATTATATGACCTAGTAGATAACATAGTCAGGATGGGGGCCCTGTTTCCTTTTGTTACTGCCACCACCATGAGGGCGCCACCGGTCCTCCCACAGAACAGACGAGCAGGAACTCACAGCAGTCATGTAACCTGGAATCGCCAGACACACCCGGCTAAAGGTAGAATTATAACTAAAAACTCAACCATCTGCAGGTAAAGGGCAGAATAAAGGCCAATGAATGAAAATGGCATGAAGTCAGATACCCGGAGCTCCCAGGATGGCTTCCATCATTCCCCGGACATACTTTACCTAGAGCCAGCAGCTGGACCCGTGTTAGGACTCATGGGGAGCATGCTGGTATGAGCAGGCATTCCAAGGCTGGGCCAATTGTCATGGGATTGGAGCATGGATAAACATGCAGAGGAATTGTCGGAATAGGCTACGGGATATAAGAACGTGTCATTATTAACGGGGTCTTCCAAGAGTGACAAAATGCGAAATGCTACCAACAACTGGAGCTACCCAACATGGAAAACAAAACGTGTGTGCAGTATTGAATACAGAAAATAATCCACTAGCCTGCTTAATTGGTCATCAAAGGCTAATATTTATTACCAAATGTATACATTTGAAAATATATTCCAGCAAATCCAGGCTCTTTCTTTATCATTAGACCAATAGCCACCATGTGGAAACAGAGCCCTACAATCACCTGACGGGGATGAATTATCTTTAAAAATAAAACTAAGGAGGTGGCCTGGTAGCATAGTGGTTAAGTTCAGGTGCTCTGCTTCAGCAGCCTGGGGTTCACAGGCTCTGACTAATACACAGCTTATCAAGCCATGCTGTGGCGATGTCCCATATATAAAAAATAAAGGAAGATTGGCACAGATGTTAGCTCAGCAACAATCTTCCTCACACACAAAAAAGAGGAAGATGGGCCAAAGATGCTCGCTCAGGGCCAATCTTCCTCACCAAAAAAGTAAATAAAAATGTAACTTTAACCTGCCTTTTCCCAAAGGATTATTTCTTAAGAATTGAAGAGGCTTTAGAAACCATTACTCCAGGCAAAATTTAAAATGTGATCTTCTAACCTCTGAGTCTAGCCTCTGGCTGAAGAAGTGCCAACAACTATTTCCTTACCAAGCAAGCTCCTTTCATTTCAAGTCAGCTTTAATGGCTTAATTGTTTTATGGTGTTCATTAGCTTTTTTCCCTCCTTTTGGAGCCAGACAAAACTAAGTCTGGGCATACCTGGTGTTAGAGAGAAGGAGTTAAAGGGATCTTGAGGGTGTAGCCCAGTGTTCATAACACGGCATCAGGATGACCCGAGGGCTTGCTCAAACAGGCTGCCGCCCCAACCCTGGAGCTTCTGAAGCAGCAGGTCTGGGCACCACACCTGGAGAATCACGCTTGGTGGATCCCTTGGAGAATCATACTTGAATCTAGTCAAGTTGGTCATTCTTGTGCCTGGCTGACCCAGCATCATCCCTTTACAGAGGTTCGTAAAATATCCACACCTGGGTCCCACCCCTAGAGATGGACCCACAGTCCTGGAGGAAAGAAGCTCGAGCAATCGCTGACGTTCATTCAGCACCGAAAGCCCCTGGTCTGGGCCTCCAGGTGGTCAAGCCTGCAGTGGCTGGACATGAAATGAAGGTTCCTCTTGAGCCTCTAAAGAACTGGGTTTGAGTGTGGGTTCTGGAAGAGGTTCTCCTATTCTGCCCTTGGAACCCCTGCAGAAGGCCTTTCCAGAGTGTGCTTCTGGCCACCCCAAACCCCTGGTCTGCACTTACGACTTACTTGGAGAGTTGTTGCGATGCGCGTAAGGGCTGGGGTAGGGGGACGGACGGTGGTTCCTCAGGGCGGGGTACCTTTCACAGCCGTGCGAGGCGGGAAGTGAGAGGGGGCCTCCAAACTGAGGGTGGGGGGTGGCCGGTGGACACAGGGTGCTGGTTCCAGGAATAAGCCACCCCCCTGCTGTGAGAAAAGAATGCTGAGTAACTGGCATTTGCATGACCTCGTGATTGACAAGACCGGCAAGCGGAGAGGAAGGAACTGTGGGTCTTTTCCTTGGGGGTCCCTGATGAGGCAAGGATTCCTACTGCCTAACCGTGAGTACCCCATCCAAGTCCTAAGGCTTTGTGGCATCAGCTTCTTACTAGAGGCCACAGGTACCAAGGTTTCTCAGGGCACCTGAGAAAACCTGGGGGACCCCAGCCTCACCAACCCCAGCTGCTTCCTCAACCGCTGTCATTCATGGGAACCCAGCCTCCAGAATCCACACCACCTCGCCACTCAATGGAAATGGGATTTTCCATTCCCCGAGGCAGGTCAGCTTTCAGCTCCTAAATGCTGAGCATGACCAAACGGTAAAAACAGACACACAGGGCTAGCCATGCAGCTTCTGTCCCTCTATCTTCCCCTTCACCTGGCTCCCACCGCCCACACAGTCCTACTGGGGACCTGTTGTCCTTGCCTTATGGGCACCCACTTTCTGCCTTTTTTCTGTTTTCGGCTCACATTCTTCCTGCTGTACGCATCAATCAGAAAATCGTTCCAACACTGTCCTGCCCTCCTCTAAAATTTCAAATTCTTCTTTATTATCGTTATTTTTTGGGCTATTAGTATTTTTTAATTCAGAAAAGCAAATCTAGGGGTCTCCAATTTCTACTCTGGCTCCAATTTCCAAACTACAAACAATTCTTCAGACAACATTTAAATGAGGGAAGGGTCCAGATCTGCCCCCAAGCCTGGGCCCCATCACTTCCCAGAGTGACTATTCATGGTTGCCTCTTCTGTGGCTGTCCACGAGCCACTTTAGCAGACTGTTACATGAGCCTAGAAGGATGACTCAAAAAATATGGGAGAGAACACAACTGATTGAGGAGTGTGCCATGCTGGTTCATCCAGCCTCTTGAAGTGACTAGCAAACACCATCTCTCTTAACAATGTCAATCATTTCAGACATTAAATGTGTGGAGGGCTGGACAAAGGAGTTTCTCCTGGTAGACGCCACTGTCTAGAACTGCATCGCTTGGCTCTGGTTCATGAAAATCCTAGAGGAAGCTGGACCTAAAGCAGACTTTCCCCATCTTATGAGCCACTGTTTCCACCAAAACCAGCATGAGTTGACGGGACACGCTCAGAACCAAAGTGGGCTAAGAGGAAAACCACATTTGTTCATAAGCATCTCTCCAAAGATGGCCCTTCAGCTTTCAGTCATTAGCAAAAATAGGAATCATCTCAAAATGGATATAATGAGCTGCATTCTCCTCTTGCCCAACACAGCAGTCACCCACCAAGGTATCAGCAATCCATCCCAGCCATGGGTGGAGCTGCGTCTGAGCTAAAGCAAAGAACCCAGGTTAATGCCCCCCTAGACTTCTCTGTCAAGAGTCTCATAGCTGGGTGAGAATCCACACCCCCTAGTTAGAGCAGAAGTTGAAGACCAGTAGTAACACAGCTTCAGCATCATGGGGCCATGTGCCTTGCACTGCAGAAGGGAGAATCTGCTCCCCAACCACACCCAGAAACTCGCTCTCTGCTCCATCTCCAGCTTCTAGCTCTCAGCAGTCTAGTCCCAAAAAAAGGTACATTGGGGCAGAGCACAACAAACCGTACATTGGGAGTACCCAGATTGCTGGCTGTCTCCAGGTTCTTCCATCATATCTTTGTGATCACTTCTGTCAAAAAAGTATAGCAAATTGTCAGAAAGGAGAACACCCAGGAAATAGTACTTGCAGCACTATTTCATCTTTCCGCGTATTTCTTTGCCCAAAGGGTATAGTTAGAGTTCTCTCACCTTTCCTTTGCATCAAGGAAAGCTTTTGCAAATGGATTGTATTTAATTTTAAGAGCTGTGATCTGGAAAAAAAAAAAAAGAAGAAGAAGAAGAAATGGAATTTACTAGCATGGTGCTCATTAACCAGAGGATTTCATTTGGCACCAAGAAACTGGGGAACACTAGTACCCCCTTTAAATATTCGAATATAATCAGACTTCTTTCCAGGCTGAAAATGGCTGAGTAATGGTAATATTTCATAAAGAATAGCTTATTTATGAGAAGTTTTCAAATGCCAGATTTTCTGAGTGGGATTCACAATAAATTTAACGTACCGCTGATAATATTCTGTGTGCATCAATCAAACAAACACGACCCAAAACATAAACTAGATCCGCTCAGGAAACAGTAGTTGGCTACTTCTAGTTGACGGTCAACACTGACAGCTTAACCAGCTCATCACAAAATGTCGGGACTTTGCGGTTGGATCCAGTTGTAGATTTACAGGCACCTAAACCGTATTCTGAATCTAGTTGATTGTTCACACTGCACAGGTCTGGAGGGTTGCCCCCCACCTTTTCGGGAAATTAAGGAGATGCCCCTCTCTCACTCAAGTCTTGTTCTCAAGAGATTCTCCTCGTTCTTCACCTACATGTTTCCTTCATCTTTTCAGTTTGAGCATTTAGTTGACGCTTCTAGTTTTAGACACCGTCACAGAGAATTACAGGGGAAAAACAGGCTTGAATGAGGACTGACTTTAAACTCTTCTCCCTCCATCCCCATCTTATAGTTATGGTAAGTTATTTGAAAAGGCATTAAATATGGGTCTAAAGTACACTAACCACACATGACCTGCAAGGATGCTCCCTCTCCCTGCGTCCCTCTCACCTCCTCATTCTGATAAGCCGTCACAGCGATGAACTGGGTCTCTGGGAAGCAATGGCTGGTGATCATGCGCTGAGGACCCCCAACTCTCACTATGTGGATTCGAGGCTCATACTTATGTAAGGAGTTCAACATGATCTGAGAGAGACAGAAACACGAGAGCCGTGACCATCACCATCCTACCACCGTGAAGACCACAAAACGTCCATTTGTCCTGCTGTTGAGAAGAAAAATACATCCAAGATGCAGAATATCCTGCAGCTCACAAGAGGGTGTCCTTACCATCCAAGCTGGTGGGTTTCCCTTCAAGGTGCTGCTTCCCACAAGGAGTATGGGAAAAGGGATGTGGGATGCAATCCACCATCAAAGACAGGGAATGCCCATCATGAAATCCTTCGAAGTTCTAGTCTGAGGCTGCCACCAGGGCTACAGACATCTTTAAATGCCTCAGCTGGGTTGCAGCTTCCTGGCACACGGGGTCTCCCAGTAACAATCCCCAAAGAAAGAATGTTCTTTAGAAAAGAACAAATGTACAAGTTTGTTCAGACTTCACGCAGTAAATATTGTGACACTTGTATAGATTTAAAGTGACTGTTTTATCATCAAGGCTGATATTTTCTCTACCCCTAGAAAAGTTCAGGGCTAGAACGCGGAGGTGCCCCAAAGTTTGAGACGTGCCTTAGTCTTCAAAGGTTGAGGCTTTGCGCCCTCTCCCGGCTCTCCATTATCAGTTTACCATAAACGACACTGGGGACCTATTGGAGGAAGGCTGTGGCTGTCTCTTCAGGGCAGACGTCGCCTTCCGTGCAAGCAGCGTCCCTTCCAACATCCGCCACGCGGAACGCGTCCCGGTTCGCGCCGTCCCCGCCCTCCGTGGCCTCCATCACACCTACCTGGCCCCCTCCGTTGAGTTTGTTGGTGAGCTTGACTTTGCTGAAGGACACCGGCGCCTTCATCCAGTGCGCCCCGAAGTTGGGGGAGTCCGGGTGGATGTAGACACAGCTGGGCGCCTGCGGCTCGGGCTTGCCCCCCGGCACCCACTCCCCGTTCACGTACTTCCAGCGGTGGTTGTCGGCCGCCACGAAGTCCAGCAGGAAGGAGTACATGGCGTTGGGGTCCAGGCCAGACACGTTCACCTTCAGGACAGGGAACATCCTCCTGGAAAGGAAGGAGCGCAGCAGGAGGACTCCGGACAGGACCCGTTAGACCCAAGGCAGAAAGTTTGGGACAGAGGCGTCTGTCATTTTGCACCAAAGAGGAGCCCCATCGGGAACTCCCAAGCTCCCCTCTTCCCAGAGCCCCCCTAGGTCCCCAGCCTTCCTCCACACTATCCCCAGCTCCGGAGGCAGGGCCAGAGAGGCCCGGGGCAAGGGTTTTAGCACCCGGGCCACGCCTGGCGGGCAAGCGCGGGAGCGGGTCTGGGAGACTCCTCCAAGGAGCGCCTCCTCCCCAACCCTCCGCGAAGAAAACCCCAGAAGAGTTAGGGTCAGGGGCCACAAGGGTCTGTTCCGACCCCGAGCAGAAATGAGCAAAAAGACCTCCACGAGGACAAAGTGTTCGACAGTAAGGAACTTTCCGGGCCCCGGCCCGCCGGAGCGCGTGGCGCACGCCGGGGCTCGGGTCGCGCACCTACCTGCCGTTCTTGGTGACGATCATCTCGTTGGTGAGCTGCTTGAAGCGCAGCCACAGCTCGCTCTCCTCCAGGCCCACGCGCAGCTCGCGCTCCGTGGGGTCGCCCTTCTCGCTGCCCGCCTGCAGCTCGCTCTCCACGGCGCTCAGCAGGTGGTCCACTCGGTACTGCAGGCTTTTCCCTGCGCCCTCCGTGCCAGGGGAGCTCATCCTCCCGCCCGCCCGCCCGGCCCCTCCCCACCGCCCCCGGGAGCCCCGACTCGCTACCCGAGAGCCACCTTCACCGCCGTCGGCGGCCGCTTTTCCAAGAAAAGGGGCTGCTCGGGCCAAGACCCGCGACGGCGCCCGGGTCCCAGCACAGACCCGGGAGGAGGGCGAGGACGGAGATCTGGGGGGGAGGGGGCGGGGGAGAGGGGTGGGGGGAGGGTTATTCCACTTGAACTCCCTCCAGGCGCGACTAGAGTAGGTCTCTGCGGAGAGAAAATCGGTCCCCTCCCCATAAATAGAGCCGCGGCGGCCGCGGAGGGGGGCTCCGCGGATTGGGCCGCGCGCCCTTTGAAGTGCCAGGGCAGCTGCCCATTGGTGGCGCGCGGCCATATCAGACCCGGCCCTGCGGGCGGGGGAGGCCGGGGGGCCAACAATGGGCTCCCGCGCCTGTTTCATGTAAATCCTGGGCCCCGGCCCAGCCCCTACACCTCCGCCCTCCCCCAAATGTTTGCACCTCCTTCAAAGCGGCTGGGCGGGCCCGAGGGCCGGGAGGAGGTCGGGGGCGGGGCGGGGATGGAGGGGCCGGCGCCCGAGCTCGCCCCAGCCCGCACGTCCCCCAGGGGTTGCCGGGCCGCCCGCGACGCTCCCCACCACCCCCTTGCGAAGCCCTCTTCGCTCTCCAAGCGCATCCGCGAATCCGCAGGTGTGCCAACCTGGAGGGGCACCGCGGCGCTCACCTGCGCCCGGGCCCGCTGTCCACCGTCCCCCGCCAGCGACCAGCGCGCACAACCAGGCTGAAGGGCGCGCGCTGTCTGCCTCTCCCGGGTCGTGTTGGTCTCACTCCTCCGAAGGCGCAGCGCTCCACCGAGCAGGGTCCCCTCCCGATACGGTCCACGTCCCGCGGCGCTTCAGGGGGCTCCACTAACAGCCAAGACCGTGGATGAGCCCACCCCGGCGAGCCCCGTTCCCTGTGGCCTTCGCAAGCCTGGAAGGGAAGCCCCGCGCGCTCGCAGTCTGCCTTTGAGCGACACAGACGGAAGTCAACCAAACGACCCCTATTTGGAAGTTTTCTCGCTTCCCATACAAGAACAGGACTTTGTGGACGAGGGCTGCGCGTGCACTGACTGTGATCTGGGAGTTTGCTTGGCCTCTGTAGTCTGGTCTTTGTTTCTGCGGAGGGTGGGAGTGCGAGGGGGCTGCCCTGGGTGTTCTTCGGCGAGCGAGGGTCGGGGTGCGCTTCCCCGTGGGGCTGGGCCCGGCCCGGCCACCGTTGCCGGCGGTGTGGGATTCGGCCGGTTTATTACCTTTCTGTGAGCAGCTCGGCGAGGAGAGCGAAGGAAAGGTGACAATGAGCAGGAAATAGTTCAATAAGGTCTCTTTAAACAATAACATTCCTCCTAAAATGGGAGCCCGGGAGGGAGGGAGGAAGGAAGCAGGAGCTCCGTGTCTGAGCGCTGGCTGTGCGCCTCCGGACCCCTCGCGCGCCGCTCTCCCAAAGCGCGTGGTTCCAGCCTCGGTTTCCTGGTCTTCTTCCCACGTACCCCATCTCCGCGGCCTCTGGGAAAAGCCAGCGCGTCGGGTGGGGCACCCCATTGAGAACAGCCCTGTGCCCTGGCAAGAGGGTTCTCCGGGCACAGCGTGAACTCTGCGCCCCGCGCTGACCCCTCCCTGCCCGGCGCCCGGCCGGGCTCGGCGGGGTCGGGAATTAGGAGGGAAACCGCCCGAGGGACCTGGGCTGGGACGCGGAGGACCGCCCCGCCTCTGCCTTCCTGGGGCCTGCTCGGGAGAGGGTGCCTGCCGCCCCCCGGGGTGGGATGAGCTTGCTTCCCGGGCTGCCTGTCCGCCCCTCTCCAAACGGAGACCGAAGAGTCGGGGTCCCGGCGCACCTCGAGTCTGTCCCCGGTTGTCAGTTTCTTTTGTTGTCTAAGGTGCACGGAATGCCCAAGGAGCTCATCCAAGGAGAGGAAGTTCCTTCCGGAAAGAGGTACCAAAAGGACTTCATTTGCTCCTGGCACCCGGACCCTCCAGAGTCGCCTTCTACCCGGCTCTTCAGGCCACGGGATTTGGGTGCTTGTGTGTGGATGTGTGTGTCTGTTTCCTGAGAGAATAAAAATGTCTATAGCGTCTCCTCTGGGGCCTAAGAGGGCTCCAGTCTCCGAGCTCAGAATAAAGGGGCAAGGGGCAAGGTGGGGTGAGGTGGAGGAAGAAGGGTGGGTCCCAGGCAGCGGAGGATCTGGGCTGACGCTCCTCCATCCCTAAGGCGGGAGCTCTCTTGGCGCTCACCACTTGGGGGTCGATTTTCCCAAAGTCCAGAAGAGCTGGGGGATACTGGCGTGTATACCAGCTGGCTCCAGGACTGTGGTTCTGATTTCAATTCAGCTCCACAAACAGGAGCAGGCCAGCCAAACACGACTAAAACCCCCGGAAAGAAAAAAAAATGTGAAATTTCAAACACGCGCAATGACGTTTCCACCCTCCAACGGCGAACGTCCCAAGCGTTCAAGAGCGAGATCCAGAGGTCTGACCGCAAGAGTGGGGGGCGTTGGAGGCTGGAGGTTACCGACGGTGCCGTAGCTGGGGAGCATCTCTCGTCTTTCACTACCTGTTATTTTTCCTCTCAATTCTGGGCCTGATTTTCTGGATCTTTGTTACTTGGTTCTCAGGACAAGCATCTCCATTCTCTCGGCCTTTTCAATGAAGGTTGCAGTGCATGACAGTTTACAGCCAAAAACTTCCTCCAGCCCAGCTGTAAAGAATGTCCAGTTAATAACAGCGTGCTCCCTTGCGGGGAGGAGGGGCCGCGGCACTTCCAGCTGGTTATCTCCCAAGGTCCATGTCTGCTTGGGAAGCCCAGCCATTCAGGGAATATAAGAAGAAGGCACGATGGCTGAGCCTCGGGGTACAACTAGTGTCCCCCCCCCCCCCAGAATAACTTAGGAAACACTTTAAGAGAAATCACACACACACTCCTCAATTTCCAGAGAAGCAGTTTTCTCCAGGCCCAACACTCCTCAAGGAGCAAAGCCATTTGTCTTTTAGGAGCAGGGATCAACGATACCATAACAGGCTTGATCAAGGCCAGCTGGAGGGGACAGCATTGTGGGACCCTTACCAGGCACTCCAGTTTCTACTTTCTGGAAGAAAAAGTAAACTTCTTTTCTGATTATAAAATTCGTGCTTATTGTAGAATATATTACATATATCTCTATAGACACAATATGTGTTATGTGTATATATGTGAAAATAAAAACCTTAAGCTCTATTCGCTGTTCGCATTTTCGGGGAGTTTCTCATCTTCTTTCTTCTTGTTCTTCTGCGAGTTCATCCTCTCATCCTGGTTAAGCAGACTTGCCAAAAGCATTCGCAAGTCCTAAATTTAAGACAACATATAAGGGGTGCTTCACAGCAAATCATTTCTGTCTCACAGTTGGCTTATTCGTCTTGCCCATCGAAAGAAACCCAGTGAATTTTGTCACGGTTTTTAAAATTGCATAATATAATTCTTTAGACTCCTTAGCATTGGAAAATTTTTAAGGGCCATTGGGTTGTTTGGGGCATCTCTGGTTTATGGGAAAGAACAAAGCCATGTTTTTGAAGTCTGGTTCTGAATGCAGGGGCCCAACTCTGCACGGGGCCGGGCCAGCACCGTGGCCTCAGGAGGAGAGCTACGAACTGAGCTGCTTGATCTCCTCCCCCCTGAACTGCAGGGGAGAGTGTGGCCTCTGCACGCGTGGGGTTGGATGACTATCAGCTGAGTCATTTCTAGACCAAATCCATCCTCACTATACCCTCTGAGCCTTCAAGTTTTGTCATACAGGACAGGGTACAGTCTCGTGACAGGCATTCTCACATTCAAAACAAACAAACAAGCCTGTGGAGGCTGCATGTTTCGGGCTGTAACATTTCTCCTTAAGACGCCAGTGCAGCTGTTCCAGCCCCCTTGGATCCCCAGGCTGCAGAGGAGAGAAAGCTGTGGGCAGTGGATTAGGGTCCCTTACGTGGTCGGTAGCTTGAGTGCTTTCTGTCTGCATATTTAATTTTTCAGTCCTTGTAGTTCACAGGCTTCTTCATGTTGTGTTCCAGTGGGATCTGTTTTTCCTGATTTTGCTGGAACGCAGGCTGCCCTCAACCGTCTCTTCCATAGTGACTCGCACTGTGGTAGCAGGTTCGGCTGTTCTGTTTTTTCTCTTGCCCGTTCTCCTAGCCTGTTCTCAGTTTCTCCTGCCTTCTCCCCTTGTTTCACCTCTCCGACCTTCTGCCCCTATTAAGTGGCTTTTTAAGGTTTTTTCCACACCACTCTGTCAATTCGCCTCAGTGTCACTTTTGGTTTTTACGGCGTCCCATGCAGATTTTATTTCTCTGTTGAAGCTTCGGTTTTCTGGCAATCCTTATTTCCTCCACATCCCGGGTCATCTTCTCCCGATGCCTTCTATCTCAGCCTCTTGCTCCACAAGGCTCTGTTTCTGTTCCTTAAAGGTCATGGTTTTCTGTCTTACTGAGAAGGCCAGTTTTGTGAATTTATCTTCTGGTTCCTCTTGCTTATTATTTCCCGAGGCTGCATTTCCTCTGAGTCTTATGAAGCATCCCCCTTATCCTTTATCCCTTGGCCCCATGCTCTTTTCTTTTTCCACTTTCTCCTCTTAAATAGGGGCGATCTCCCCAGCCTGGTCCCCGCCAGTGGCTCACTCTCCATGGACCCGACTGTGGTGAACGCCCTTGTCACAGCTACACTGTGAGACAGTAGATGGACATGTAGGGTCCGTATTAATCATCATGAACCCACCCCTTAGCTCCCGGTGGAGACTCAACAGTCCCTATTGATGACCGAGTTGGCAAAATTGAAGTGCCGCTAGCATTTGTCTTTAAGGAGGAGCAGGAGCCGCTGTTCTCCAAATCCCCCTGGACCCATGCCATGGGGCATTATAACGACAACACCAGACTGACATTAACCCTTAACATTTACTAAATGCAAAAACCACAGAAGCTAGAGCAATCTTTCTTTCCTTAGTCATGCACTCATTGATTCAAATAGTCAATTGCCTTGAAGACAATAAAGGACGGATTTTCTATGGAAGTTGTGTATAAAATGAGACCTAACAAATGAACAGAAATGAACTCTTCCACGGAAACAACAAAGGTGAAGGGAATAGGGACATTGCTTTAGGCGAAAAATTACTCAAGAAATCATGACTGGGGACTCTACTCCATCATGTAATGATTATATGTAATACTGCTGGAACTTTCCTTTCTCCTTTCTCTATTCCTTAGTTTGGAAAACCCTATTTTGGCATTAAATGAAATCTGAAGTCCCAGATCAATTCTCTTGTAGAAAAGAATGTTGGAAATAAATGCAGGTGTACGTATGTATGTATCTACTCATGCTGGACCGGCTCTAATTGCCATAATCACTATTTAGCAGGAAAGCTCAACATCACGTCCAAAGTTGCCACAGGTTGTGATGTTGCTGTGATGGCATTGGGGCTGCAGGCTCAGAGCTCCAAGATTCTGGGTCCTGACATTTTCCCAGAGGAAGCAGAGACAGCTTGGGGATGTGGGGCCCTGGGGAGAGGGCAAAGGTTCAGTCCAGGAGTGGAAGGGAGGCAGCTCTTTCTATGAAAAACCAAACGATGTGAGTATGGCTGGACTGGATGCAGAATGTGAGGACATGCAGGGACAAGCTGAGGAAGACTAGTGCATCGGGGTCTTTATGTGCCTGATTCTGGAGCAAAGATGAGGACGACAACAGTCAACTTTAAATGAAGGTTGAGACTCAAAAGGCACAACCACCTGTTTCATAAGAACAAGTGGGATGCTAAGACAAGAAGGCAAGCCTGGCAGGAAATTTTACGGTGAGACAGATGTGCTAAGCGTGCGATACGGGAAGATGACAAAGGAGGGCAGAGCTCAGGCAGGTAGGCATAGGAGTGCTGCTCTGGGCAGACCTGGAAATGGCGGGATGTCAGCATCTTCAGGGACCGGATGGGAAGAACTCTAGAAAAGGTCTGCGATATATCCTACAAGCTGGTGGGCCCCTTCAGAGGCTTCCTGTAGAAATTCCTGTAAATACTATAGACCAAGATAGGATTGAACAAAGGGGAAGAAAAGAGTGATGAGGCTGTAAGACTGTAAGAATATTAGGGAGGGGGCTAATCTGGGGGCAGGGAAAGGAGGGGAGACAAGGCAGAGCCCCTCTTGAGTAAAACCCTGCAGCAGGACGTGCTGGGAGCACTCGGGTGAGAGGAAGAGCTGGAGAGCGACAGACAGAAGGGCCTGCTGCAGCTGGGGGCTGGGCTCCTATGCCTCTGGTTGGAAAGACATGAGGGAGGAGCTAAGATATGTCTTCCTACATATCAAGTACCAGACTGATAGTAAAAATGAGACAAAGGGAGGGCTTCGCATGTCCCTGAGAAAAGATCCCAGTCAGTGGTTCCCGCCATGGGGACTTTTCAGCCATGGGGACTTTTCCAGCTGAAAAGAAGCCGCTGGGGAGGAGAACCCATTTGGAAATTAGGATTAGCACCTCCTACAGCCTCATTCAGGGCTTCCCGGGTACACCCTGTCCTGGAACACAGGAGACAGAGGAATTAGCATTCACAGAGGCCTATTATATGCAAGGAACGGAGCCTACTTATCATCTCGACATCAGCAGCCCTGCAAGGTGGTGACAGCCCCCCTTTTATATTCTGGCAACCAAGGCTCCAGGGCGAGTAAAAAACGGAGAAGCAACTGGGTTTCTGATTTGTCCTGTTTTAAACTGGTCCTGTTTCCACTAGACTAGGTTCAATATATGGCCTGCAGAAACAAACTTATTTTCTCCCTCCCACCCACCACCTTCGCATAACTATATAAAATGAATCTGGCACATGCGTGTGTGTGTGTGTGTGTGTGTGTGTGTGTGTGTTTGGGGAGGGGGAACTGGTTGGCAGAAATACTTTTGAAATCTGAAAAAAGGTTTAGTGATATAAAGGATGGCAATATAACAGGAGCTGGAGAAGGAAAATCTCTTAATCCTTTAACTTGCAATCCAGTGGGAGATGCTGGTAACTAGACAGAAGAACAAAAGGCAAGGGGTGCTTAAGCCTAAATACATTATCCTATTCAAGTTTCCAAAGAGCCCCATGAAAGTCAATATTATTCTCCTCCTCCTTCAAAGATTTTCATAATAAAATAAAATGTAGATCAGAGAGGGAAAGCACTTTCCCCAGGGTCACACAGTTGGTGTGGAACTAGGGTTCCAAGTTATGCTCATGGACTACAATAATTCCAAAAGAGGAGTTGGAAGGCTCAAAGTGTGCTCTTTGCTCTTTCACTAACTCACGATATTACCAACTTGTTGTATAACTTTCAAACATCCTCATTAACCTCAGAGGTGGCTTTAAAAAAGACCATACTACCATTGTAGCTGCTTTGAGCGTTAGAGGGGTTAATGAGATTAAAGGCACTGGAAGAAAAACCTGGGCATTTTGCAGGAACGTTGTACGGTGTTGTCGGCTGGGGTTTGGATGAAGGGAATAAATTCTCATGTATTTCTCATGTTTGGAGAAAAATCAATTGCGTTAAATTTGTGTGTGTGTGTGTGTGACGAAGATTGGCCCTGAGCTAACATCTGTCGCCAATCTTCCTCTTTTTGCTTGAGGAAGATTGTTGCTGAGCTAACATCTGTGCCCATCTTCCTCTACTTTATGTGCGATGCGGCCACAGCATGGCTTGACGAGGAGTGTTAGGTCCACACCCGGGATCTGAACCGGCAAACCCCAGGCCACTAAATCAGAGCACATGTGAACTTAACCACTATGCCACCAGGCCGGCCCCAAGTTAAAATTTTAAAACCTAATTAAAACTTTAAAGGACGGGAATTCTGTTATTTTTTACAACAGGAAATGATGAGAACCATCGGTTGGCTAGTTGGCCAGAGTATAGGATTAAAGATTAGGTAAATTATGGCCTTAAACTGAGAAAACCATTTGACATCTTTCGCCTCAGCTTCTTTCAAACTTTGTAACACAGATATGTTGGTTCCACGCAAAGGTTAATAAGATGCGGTTATGAATCGGTGCCCCTTCCAGGTGCACACTGAGGCAGGAAAAGTCCTCCTAGAATCGAGAGACTCAGGGCCCAGCGTGGGACCACAACTTGTCTTTTGAGTGTTTTGAAAATAAACACTCCAATTAACAGACTAGCATTAGATTGAGATCTTCAGTACAAGAACATGTAAAGCAATATCATTATTAAAAATGTGCTCTTGGAAGCATCTTCCATTAGAAAAAAATTATAACAAGTATATTGAGTGATTGACCCCTCAGCTATTTGCCATCATCCTTGGGTTAAAAAACAACACCCGGGGGCTGGCCCCGTGGCCGAGTGGTTGGGTTCGCGCGCTCCGCTGCAGGCGGCCCAGTGTTTCGTTGGTTCGAATCCTGGGCGCGGACATGGCACTGCTCATCAAACCACGCTGAGGCAGCGTCCCACATGCCACAACTAGAAGAATCCACAACGAAGAATATACAACTATGTACCGGGGGGTGTTGGGGAGAAAAAGGAAATAATAAAATCTTTAAAAAAACAACACCCAATCTGGAAAATTCCTCATACGACTTTAGCTTCCCTATCCATTTGTTCATACGTGAACTTCTTGCCCTTGCAGTCGGTTCTCAACACAGCAGCCAAAACGAGCCATTCCTCTTCCTCCCGCCCCCAGCCCCAGAGGCTTACGGAGAGGTGGGCTCTCATGGCAGCATTTGGGGAATTGACTTTGATGCAAAGGTAGCCTTCAAATTCACTATCAGGAAAGCTGTGGCAGAGGTCACTAAGCAGAAGGGCTCATGGACCAAATGAAGACGCTCAAATCACAAGGTTCAGTGAATCCATTAGAAACGCACCGGGAGAGGCAAAGGAAAGGAAATGGAGCAGGTCCACACAGCTGGACCGAAGGCCCTCACTGCATGAGTCCAGGTCCATGGCGCCCACATAGCTGGCTTTCTTTGCCGCATCACCTCCCCATAAGAGTGTGGTGATGCAGACCAGGGCTGAGGCTGAGCGAATGGGCTCAGAAGATGCTCAGAGAGTAACTGTATCACAAACACTCATGGACTTGTGACCCAGCATCAACAAGAGACACTCACGGGCAGTCTTGTTCCATCTGCCCCCTCACTGCAGTCATCTCCACCCCCAGGTCACTTTGAAGTGAATCCTAGACATCAGATCCTTTCCTCCACAAAAGAGAGATTGCGCGTGTATCCCTAAAAGATAAGATTTCTTTTGGTTAAACCTAACCATAGTACCACTGTCACACCTAAAAAATTAAGAATTCCTTGATGTTATCAAAAACCTATTCTGTATTCAAATTTGCCTGTTTGTCTCATAAGTCTGGGAGAAAATTCTTATACATATCTTTTGAGACCCATATGCAAGAGCTCCCATAGATGGGTCAGAAGCCTAGAAAGGGAATTTCTGGGTAACGTCCACCCTCAGCATTTTTAGAATGTGCTAAATTGTTTTGCAGAGAAGTTGCACCAAATTTATATGCACCTGCCGTGAGTAAATTTCTCACACTTTGCATCCTGGCCAACACTTGATATCGTCAAATTTTATAATTTTTCCAATCTGATGGGTATTAAAAAAAGCCATGGTTTTAAATAGCATTTTCTTGATTACTAAGGATTCTGAGTATCTCATTACATCTTTTTTTTAAAATTCAATGACAGGAGTTCTTTTAAAATGCCAGTGCTAACCATTTGTCCATTTTATAAATAGCAAAACATTCTCCCCCTTTGTGACGAGTCTTGTCACATCCCTGACGATATCCTTTTGTGGACAGAAATTCTCAGGTTCTTTTTTTTTTACTTTTTATTGTTTTATTGAGGTCACATTGGTTTATAACATTGTGTAAATTTCAGGTGTACATTATTATATATTAGTTTCTGTATAGACTGCATTGTGCTCACCACCAATAGTCTAGTTTTTATCCATCACCATACGTTTGTGTCCTTTTACCCCTTTTGCCTTCCCCCCACCCATTTTCCCTCTGATAACCACCAATCTAGTCTCCTTATCTGTGTGTTTGTCTTCCACATAGACATGAAATCGTACAGTATTTTTCTCTATCTGAATTATTTTGCTTAGCATGATACTCTCAAAGTCCATCCATGTTGTTGCTAATAGCATGATTTTGTCTTTTTTTATGGTGGAGTAGTATTTCATTGTATCTACATATACCACATCTTCTTTATCTTTTCATCTGTTGATGGGCACTTGGGTCATTTCCAACTCTTGGGTATTGTGAATAATGCTGTGATGAGCATGGAAGGCAAATACCTTTACGAATTCATGTTTTCATGTTCTTTGGATAAATACCCTGAAGTGGAATAGCTGGATCATATAGTATTTCCATTTTTAATTTTTTGAGAAATCTCCATCCTGTTTTCCATAGCGGCTGCCCCAGTTTGCATTCCCACCAGCAATAAACGAGGGTTCCCTTTTCTGCACACCCTCGCCAACACTTGTTATTTCTTGCCTTTTTAATAGTAGCCTTTCTGACAGGTGTGCAGTGATAGCGCATTGTAGTTTTGATTGACAAGAAATTCTCAGTTTTAATATGGTCAACTTTATCGCATTTTTCCTTTTCTTTTTACACTTTTTGTGCCTTTGTTTAGGAAAACCGTTCCTTCCCCCAAGATGGTCTCCCATATTCTTAAAATTGTATAGTTCTGCCTTTTTACCTGTAGGACGTTCATCTGCGTAGAATTGACATCCACCCATCAGATGACTTAGAGATCCAATCTCAATGTGGAAAACTACTTGTCCAAGCACCATTAGTTTAATCATCTATTGTTTCCCCAAAGATCAGCAATAAATCTGCCATAACTAGTTTCCATCCTGTATCTAATTTGGGGCTCCCTATTCTAATTGCTTGATGTTTTTTATCTACCCTTGCACAAGAAAGCACCATTTTAATTGCTACGTAGCTTTAAATTAGGGCCTGATGTCATGGAGGACAAGCCCCCACCCCTTAGTAGCCTCTGTATGTCTTGCCTGTTACAGTCACTTGCTTTTCTAGATACAGTTAGTAATTAGCTTGTCAAGTTCCATGAAAAATTATTGAAATTGCGTTAAATCTAAAGGTCAGATTGGGGAGAACTGACACCTTTTCAATATATATTATTTCAACCCATCAGCATGATTCCTTCTTTTATTTACTTCTCTTTTAACATCTCTCAGTGATGTTTTATAATTTTTTCAGAAAAGGCTTATACCTCTTTTTTCAAATTCAGTCCCAGATATTCAATTTCTATTGCTATCATAAATGGAATCTTTTAAAAATTATGTTATAAAATTATTAATTTTTTATAATTTTTATGGAAACACTTTTATCTCATTATAAAATCTTATAAAGCAAACACTTAGTAACCACCTCTGAGGTCAAGAAGTGACACATTTCCAGCCCCCCAGAGGTTCCCTTCCCAATCACAAACCCCTCCCTCCCTTTTGAAGTTAATCATTTTCCAGAAAATTATGATAATTGTTTTCCTGCTTTTCTGTCTTCTGTGGAATTTTTCTATTTAGAAAGTTTTATATCATTTGTAAACTTTACAGCTTTTTCTTCTTTTTCTTGCTTATTACACTTGTCAAACTTCCAGTACAACTTGAATAAAATTGAGGAACACAGGCATCTTTCTGTTGTTCTCGACTTCAAAAGGAAACATTGCAATATTTCACCATTAAGTACATTATTTTTTTATAATTTTTTAAAAAATATACTAACAGGTTAAGGAATTTTCCTCTTATTCATAATTTGCTATTATTTTTATTATGAGCAGAAATTACAGAAATGAACAATACATTACTGGGTTCAATTTGTTAATATTTTGCTTAAGAATTTTGCATCTACGTTCTTGAGTGAGATTAGCTTGTATTTTTCCCTCTAGATTATGCTGGTTTCACAAAAAGAGCTGGGGTACGTGCCCTCTTCTTCCATTTCTGAGAGAGTTCACAAATGAACAATGGCCCCCTTTCTTCCTTAAGTATCCATATAGAATTCACCAGTGAAACCACATGGACCTAGAGTTTTCTTATTTTCTTTGTGGGAAGGTTTTTAAATCATGGATTTGGGGCCGGCCCTGTGGCTGAGTGGTTAAGTTTGCATGCTCTGCTTCAGCGGCCCAGGGTTTCACCGGTCCACATCCTACACACTGCTCATCAAGCCATGCTGAGGCAGCATCCCACATAGCAAAACCCAAGGGACCTACAACCAGAATATACAACTATGTACTGGGGGGCTTTGGGGGTAAAAAGAAGATTGGCAACAAATGTTAACTCAGGTGGGAATCTTTAAAAAAAAAATAATGGATTCAATTTACTTAATAATTGTAGGACCCTTTGGATTTTCCGTTTCTTCTTACTCAGATAATTTCCTAGGAATTCGTCCATGGTTGCTATGGAGATGTCATCTGTATTTCCAACTTTATTCCTTTGTAAGTGTTTTGTCTTTTCTCTCTGGCTTCTTTAAAGAAGCTCACTTGACATGCTGCCCTTTTTATTTATTTCTCTTGTGATTCCTTGGGATCCTTAAATCTGAGGATTGATGTCTTTCATCAATTCTGGCATTTTAAAATTTTTTCTTCAAATATTGCTTCTTCCCCACTCTCTGGATTATTCCTAGTGGAACTGTGACTAAACGTATGTTGGACTTTCTCACTTTAGCCTCTGTGTCCCTTAACCTCACTGTTATATGTCCCATCACTTTGTTTTTTGTGCTGTATTTTGGATAATTTCTTTTGGTCTACATAGTTCCCTAATTCTATGCTCAGTTATGCCTAACCTACTCTTTAACCCACTCGTTGAATATTTATTTTTATTTGTTACATGTTTCTGCTCTAAAAGCTTCATTTCTTTCTTTTCCAAACATCTTTGATTCATTTTCATGGTTTCCTAGTCCTTACTCATCATCTGAAATTTCTTTTTACAGTTTCTTTAAGCATATCAATCATACTTACATTCTTATCAATATTGATAAGATAGCAATCATCCTTATATTTTCTGCATCTGATAATTTGCATTATCTCAATTCTCTGTGACTCTGATTCCACTGACTCTTATTTCTGTTTGTTCTCATCCATGGTTCTGGGTTTCCACATGGAAAATGTCACATTTATAATGAGTTTGTTAGTTACTTGATGGTACTCTCATTGCATACCATAACTCTGAATTAAAGAAAAAGAAATCTGCCATTTAATTGCTTCTCTGGGAATTCCAACATTTCTTCATCCTCTTCATCTAGGTAGGATGCTACAGTCTCATTTTTAATCCACGTAGTTAGTCCAATATCGCCTTGCTGTCTTAGCCTCCTAGAATGAAGAAAAGAGAAAAAGAATATATAAAAGCTCTGAAGGGAACATGCCTTGGGGATGAGCCACCCACCACCCCTTATAACTCTAATTCTTGGCCATTTGCTCTAATTCACCAAGGAATTAGGAAGCAATTCATCTCCCCTATTCCTGCCATTATCCTGGGAGCCCCCCTCTCTTTGGGCTGCTGATCCATCTAACCCTCCAGCACCAAAATCCCAGTGACCTTCACCCCGACGCCACTGAAGAGGCAGTTTCCTTCTTGCTTTTGGGCATCGCCCAGAGATGCTCTGACTCAGAAATCTTAAGCTCCGTATCCTGCTCTGACCACAACCTCCTGTCCTCCAGCATCTCTGCTTTCACCCTCACTCTAATTTGTTCTTTGATCTCCTGGGGAACCACACCCTCTGACCCTCAGACAGAGAAAAGACGGAGCCAACCACAACTCGGTGTGTCTGAATGGCTTGTTCCAGGGTCAGGGGTGCTGTGGTCATCCCAGGAGAAGCAGCCTCACCCCTCTTGTGTTCTGGAAGGTTAACCCTAAAGGAAGAGAGAGAAACTTCTCTTAAAGATTGTGTTTAAATTACTTTTCTATAGATAAACTCTTAAAATGGTGTTAATACCAATGCAATTTTTTCTGCAAATGTAAGGTTTTTTTCCATTTCATTGAACTTCATGACACTAACCTTCTTTGGATCACAGATTTCCTTAAAAATCTAATTAAAAAAAACATGAATCCTTTCTCAAAGAAAATCACATGTACGTACTCATATACAACATATTTTAAAGGGTTTACGTCCCCCTCAGCTTACGTACCTTACATTAAGCACCTCGATCTACTATAAATTTGCCAGATTTCCCCCATTCAGTGGCTCTCTGAAGTCTGTTTTACTTGTAATGTTTTCATGGCACATGCGTCCACACTTACCCATATTCCTACCTCTTGTCCTGATCATGTGAATCCACAAGGCTATTATATCTCAAAGTGGCAATTTTGACCAGTGGGGAAATTGTGGAAATGTTCTTCAAAAGTTTGGGAATACAGCATATACATTTTGGGTTAGCATTTTATACTCAACCATCCTGCTTTGGAAGATGTTTTGAGAGGCACAGACACTATTGCCTAAATAAAACAGCATCTGCTTCTAGCAAGAACAACTAATCCTCACCAAAACCAGTTAGCAGAGAAATGAAAACAAACCACTATTAACAAGGGTGTGTGTGTGCACATGTGTATGTGTGCGTGTGTGTGTGTGCAGGAAAAAAAAACCCATCCCCAGTGCAACTTACATGAAAATACAAAATATTAATGACTCAGGAATGTTCATCTGCTCTATGTGTTGGCCTGAAGTTAATATCTACAAAACATCTATAAATCAATCAAATTTGAGGGCTACCCAGGAAACAGACCAGATGACAACTGGTGTCAGATGATCCTGTCCTGTCTTCGGTTACGGGTCTACACATGGGTGTCCAGAAGAACAGCATCTGTAACCTTCTCGGAGGGCAGAAAGCGGGGTTTGCCTGGAGTGGAGAGAGACTTCTGACTCCTCCCCAGCCCTCATCAGCAATGAGTGTGCACCACTTTCTCAGGCTCTCTAAAAATCGCCTGTCTCTGTGCTACACCGCATCTTTAGGGCAAGAGAGCATGATGGCTACGCTTTAAAGTCCAAGGTGCATTAATTAAGATATTAACTCTGTTCATTTCACACTAGCTGGAAAGGACTCTGAAAAAAACAATGGATATTGACAAGACACCAAAGTAATAAGAGACGGAATCCCAGTGTCTTGTCTTCGAGTCTCTACCTCGCCATCAAATTGGACTAATGCTAAAAACAGCTGTCCCACAATGCAGCTGAGCGTAATCGGAGGCCAGGCTGCAACTGGGTTTCTCCCTAGTTGGAGGCAGCCTCAGCCACGCTGCCTCAGCTGGCAGCCCTGGAACCCTGGTGCCTTTCCCCTTTATACGAGGTTACTGGGAATGGATGCAAGGGGCCTGGCACAGAAGACGTGCTTCATCATATACTAGACATTCATCGTAACTGCTGTCTGAATGGACGTAACTCATCTCAGACAAGGAACTCAACATTCAAAGAGCTCGTGCCATGTGCCAGGCGTTATGGAAAGCACTGTATCTACACGACTGAATTTAGTCCTCACAACAACCCTAGAGTAGGTATTCTTGTATCCACTGACCAAGCCATGTAGGTAGAAAGGGGCAGGAAGGAGCTGAATCGGGTGTGTCCTGCAACGTCTATGGCACCATTCTGCCTCGGAGTGAGAAGGGAGAAGTGAGCATGATGTAGACTTTACAGATGGAAATCCAAACCAGAAGGAGCTCATTTATTCATTCATTCAGGAAAAATTAATTGAGCTCCTGCTGTGAGCCAGTTGCCATCCTAGAAGCAGGAGGCGCTGCGGTGAGCAAGACAGCCCTTGCCCCCTGGCTGGGTTTCCAACGAGGGGAGGGCAGCAGGAGAGAGTAGACAGACAAGCCAATGACAATCCATCGACCCGTGGATCCATGGTGATGAGTGGAGGAAAATGCTGCACTAGGAAGGATGAGGGCGATGGGAGCACAGTGTGGTACCCACCCTCCCCCAGGGCATCCTGGAAGGCTTCCCGGAGAAAGTGGTATTTGGGCGTAGATCTAACATAGGAGCCTGCCACACTCAATCTGGCCTTCAGGTTTCCTAGTTCTCAATTCCTTTTACCTTTCCATTGTCAAATTCTTCTCAAAAACTGCAGTTTGGTTTCTTTGCAACATTTTTCATTTCTGGCATTTTTCTAGGCTACTCACATGCCACATGGGGCTGCTTGGTGTCTTCTTGTTTTCTGATTGGAATCCTTTTTCTTACTGGCTGGGCTGTCACATTTCAGGAAGCTGAGGGGGGGCGGTGCTGCAGGCTGCCGACCAGCTGGCCGCGAGTCTTCCCTCCTCGTCTCCCTGGGCTGCACGCCGCGCTGCCTGTGTCCGCCTGGGAACAAGCGATCCAGCTGTCAGAAGCAAACATCACCTTCATTTTTTGTGGTTATTGTTTTCATTACTTTCAGAATACTGTCAGAAATAATTTTTAAAACAGAATTTGGTAAATTTGGGCTAGCAATGATCATTAAAATGTGTGTTTATTTATTTATTTATTTTTATTTTTATTTTTTTGCTGAGGAAGACTGGCCCTGAGCTAACATCTGTGCCCATCTTCCTCTATTTTGTCTGTGGGATGTGACCACAGCATGGCTTGATGAACAGTGTGCAGGTCCACATTTGGGACCCACACTTGTGAACCCTGGGCCACCAAAGCGGAGCATGCAAACTTAGTAACTATGCCACTGGGCTGGCCCCTATTTATTCATATTTTAAATTTTTCATTCGACAGTATTTGATATTTTAGCAGATAGTACCTTATTGCTAAGAAATACTGGTAAGTCCCCTGTAATCCTCTGTGTGTTCATCTCGTCTATGATCACCCATTGGGTGGTGGCTTTGCTGGGCAGTGTTGTGGCACAGAAGGAAGAGGCAGGAAAATCAGCCCACAGAAAGGCAGGTGCTGTTTTGGTTTCACTTTGTTTTTAAGTTAGACTCAAGATTAAATTTTTATTTCTTCAAAACCAAAACTAACCTCTCTGTCCTCTGGTCACCACATCAGAGGACATCAAGATCCAGAATGGAAATGGAGTTCGGTAAGAACAGAATGCATCTTCCTCCTTAATTCTACCTGGCGGCCACTTCTTACAGGCAGCCTTCCTGTATGCACCAGGACTTTCAGGGCACAGTCTGCTGACACGCAGCAGGAAAGGTTCTGTGCTTTCACAGTCAGCTCCCCCACAGCCGGCCCCTTGCCCACGCGCCCCCCAGAGCTGAGGATAGACCCTCACTGTGCGGCTTCCAGACCAAGACAGTACTGACCAGCCCCCTGGCTCTGTCCACATCTGCAAAGCGGCCGTCTCCTTCCAGCAGGCTGCTCGGGTAGCACCAAACAGAGAAAAGCAAACACAGAAGCAAGCTGTCAGGCTCCACGCTCCTTGAACACACAGGCCTGTGTTAGAGAGCCCTCGGCACTTCTCATTTTCATCTCGAAAGAAAAGATGCCAAATCACAGGCGAAGACGGCAAGTGGTCTGGGTTCAGGAATGGGCGAATGGTACAGCTTTAGTATGAAGCGTATGAAATCCACCCATTATAACAGGCCAGGAAACTACATTTTCCTTTTGCTGCTACAGAGTATTACAAATAAAATCTGGCATAAAACGGGCCTTAACCCAGAAAGTTTGGGGCCGAAGGGGTGCCTGTGGCCAAAGGGATGCCCCAGGATCCTGGCAAGGATTTCAGTCCGCCAGGCCCCTTGCTGGCTGTGAACACAAGAGCCCTCATGAGCCTCGGAGCTCGTGACAGGAACACTTAATTCCTCAGAGGGCTGTGAGGACAGAGTGACATACGTGTCCATGGGGAAGGCAGCATGGTGCCTAGACGGGGTTGGCACTCACTAGCTGCCACTCTCTCTCAATGCCAATAATAGATGCAACATTTGTCACCGTGCCGCCCCCTCCCCTCGCCTCACCTGCATCCTGGGCTGCGCTGGGACGTTGGGGACAGAAGCCGGGACACTGTCCCTCATGGGGAGTTCCCTTCAGGCCTCTGCCGGCCCTGGAGGCCCAGGACCTGTGGGTTACCCTGGAGTCAAATTATGGACCCCACAGTGACAGTCTCAAGGATGTCTCCCTCCTTATGATGCCTGTCGTGGCCATGGCAGAGCCCATGCCCTCTCACCTGGTTCTCATGACAGCTCTGTGACAACACGGAGTAAAGGTTGTTGTCAGTGGTTTATTTTGAGGACACAGACTCTAAAGCCCACAAAAGAACTGTCTGGCGTCACCGGCTACCAAGGGTGGCCCTGGGCTACATCCCAGGGGACTTCATCTTTCCTTTCCACGTTACTTCTCCTGGCGAGGCCATAACAGCTGAAGCAAAGTACAGGGCGAGCCCTGTGGGCGAGCCCCCGTGTATGAGTCCCCGGTGGGCTAGCTGACAGCAAGGCCCTGGCGGGCTCTGAGTGGCGCCGGGGGCACTGGCAGGCGGAGGAGAGGCCAGAGTGAGCTGTACCAGCATGGATGCCCTTTCCCACTGCGATGAGACAGGTGCCTGAACGCCCAGCCTGCCATTTGTCCCCGTACACACGGTACAGCAAACACCAAGGCAGAAACAAACAGCCTTTCATCAGCTCCCGGGGGACAGCTGTTTGACAAATTGCTTTTCTTGGGAAAGTACTCAGGGCTCTGGGAGGGTCCACGATAATTAGAAGACGCGGTCCCTGCCTTTGAGGCACTTGCAGAGGTCAGACAGCTATGGACTGTGACTCGAGGAAGGGCCATTTCGACCCAGCTAAGACAGGAGCTAGAGATGAAGGAGATAAATCCCAGAATACCTCCTGGAGGAGGTGATGGATTAGCTGACATCAGAACAGGGAGCAGGGGAAAGGAAGCTGGCAAATATCTCAGCCGGGAATAGCCAACAAAGTGTGGTCGGTGTGCACGGATGCCCTCTGAAGGTGCGTTTTAATGTCATGGGTTGTTTCATGTTGTTGCTGAATCTGGTCTTGGGCCAGGCAGGGAGAAGCGTCTTCTGGTGGGCTGTCTCTGAGCATGAGGGGCAGAGCATGACAGGCTGCAGAGTTGCTGTCATCACAGGTCCTTCCTAGCTGGAGCCTGAGGGCGTCCTGGGCACCTCCCGGGTGCTGGGGCCTTGGGGGTGTTTACAGGCACCTTCAGCTGATGCACGATGAGGATGTCGTCAACCCAGGCATCCTTCTTTTGGTCCAGGAATTAAAGCCCACGAAGGGCTGAGAAGAGCATCCCGCACATTCCGAGGCCTCTGCCCAAGAACCAGTGTGCAAAACTAAGCAAACTTCTCAGCTAAACTTTGCTGCGTGTTTGGCTGCAAACATCTCAACTTTGCAAGGACATGTTTTTTTTTTTCCAAATGGGTTTTCCTTTGTCATCTGCATTTCTAAGAATCCTAAATCTTCACGTCTCTATATGCCCAATATAAGAAAATGTAATGCAAACTAAAGGAAGACGGAAGCAAGCTGAGGATTTTTGCAAACTGGGTCTCCTATCTTTTTCAACTTAAAATTTTGCGATTTTTATTAGGTTTTAATAGGATGTCTCCTAAGCGTGGAAATTAAATGTTATCAAGTGCTCCAAGCGGCTAAGGAACCTTGACTTCACAGAGCATGTTGGACGCCACCCTTGCATCCACCACGCAGCTTCCACCTTCCGTTGCTTTTGTGCAGGAAACACGGATCAGCCGACAGAAAAGACTGACTATCAGCGTTTCAATCCAGTCCTGCTGTGTTCCTGTAATTATTTGGATTGGCTTCATCCAAACAAAGAGAATATTTCGAAGACATTCAGCCAATTTCTGATGGGAAGGACAGGCGACCAAGAGTGACCACCAGACCTCACGGAGCAGGCTTCAAGACAGGAGCCTCATTTGCATTTCCGAGGCCAGACCACACTTTTCCCAGATATTGCCATTTCCCCAACTATTTGACTTGATTAAAGGAGGATAGAAAATGACTTACGCCCCTAAATTGTGACAACAAAGGCTGGGTTTCTCTCTTCAATCAAAACAGCATGGCTGCCTGATTCAAATGCTAATAGCCAGGGCCTGAATTGGCCACTAAAAGAGGGAGACACTTTCCCCTATAAATGACCACAAAGTCACTCCTTTGCTGTCAGAACCTGCAGGATTCTTCCAGTTGGATATTCTGTTAAATGGCTTCACGGGAAACATCCCAGAGGTGGTCTCGGGGTGCTGTGTGTGTCAGTTCCTGGGGAAAAGAAGAAGGCTTCGATTTGAACAAGGCTCTCGTCTCTTTGGTAATGCTCCATCTCCCTCGTATGTATCCAGGAAGACCTCTGAACAAATCTGGTGCAACTCTGGGATTCTTCACTGGACAAAGCCCCAGTTTTAGAGTTGGTTGCCACCATCTTGATTCATCCTAATTCCGTGGTGGCCTCGTTTCCTGGGGGTCCCAAGGAGGCAAGTAGTTTCTCAGCTCCCTAGGGCCACACCCTCCACCCCAGTCCTCCCACCAGGTGCTGTGCATGCCACTACTCCACTTGTGCATGGGAGCTGAAGATGGTGGACTTGGGGCCAGATGATCCAAGTTCAAGTCCAACCACTCAGGCGGTGCCCTTGGACCAGGTACCAGGCTCTGTGTACCTGTTCAGTCTCAGGGGAAGGAGACCAACGCCAATCTCACACAGGTGAGGAAAAGCACACAGAGTACACCTCGTTGGGGTCTAGAGTCAGTGGACCAGAGGCCCATCATTCCTCCACCACTAACCTGACCCTAACCAGGTCAGCCAACATGCTGAGCCTGAGTCCCTCTTCTGTGACAGCACTCACTTTGTAAGGCTTCCCGAACACTGATGGGGCGCCAAGGGATAAGGCACCAGCACTGGGCCTGGGCAGCGGTCGGTGGTAGAATGCAGAGCTTCCGCAGGCACATAATCAGGCTGGATGACATAGAGCGTTTGAAAACTCCTCTCCCAGTCTCTAGGCCTCTCTTTGGCCTTTACTAATGTCTTTTTTTTTTTTTTTTTTTCCTTTTTCTCCCCAAAGCCCCCCGGTACATAGTTGTATATTCTTAGTTGTGGGTCCTTCTAGTTGTGGCATGTGGGACGCCGCCTCAGCGTGGCTTGATGAGCAGTGCCATGTCCGCGCCCAGGACTCGAACCAATGAAACACTTGGCCGCCTGCAGCAGAGCGCGCGAACTTAACCACTCGGCCACGGGGCCAGCCCCCCTCTGTGTACATTTTAGATTCACACTATGCCAGTTTCTTTCTTCTTGATTAGACTCTACGACGCTTCTTTGACCGGGAGATAGTTTTGACACCATTTCGCAGAGTGGCAGTTCTTTTACGCATCTGTGAAAAGACTGTGAATTTGATGGTGCAAAGACAGGTTTAAAACAGGCATCCTTATATGCTTTAGAGAGGACCTCACCTCCTGGAGAAGCGCATGTTAGCGAGAGAGGCAGAACGCATCTGATACAAGCAGCTGAGGTAGTTCTTACTTCGGGAATGCTTCTCAGCTGATTTATGGAGAATCTTGTTCTGAAAGAAATGCTTTATTTATTTTTTTGTTTTTGTTTTTGTTTTGAAGAAGAAGATTAGCTCTGAGCTAACATCTGCCGCCAATTCTCCTCTTTTTGCTGAGGAAGACTGGCCCTGAGCTAACATCCATGCCCACCTTCCTCTACTTTATATGTGGGGGATGCCTGCCACAGCGTGGCTTGATGAGTGGTGCTAGGTCTGCACCCGGGATCTGAACCAGCAAATCCCAGGCTGCCAAAGCAGAACGTGCCAACTTAACCGCTGAGCCACCAGGCCACCCCTGGAAGAAATGATTTATTTTTATTTTTTACATTCACGTCTTCCCTCTGCAGCTGGAATTTAAAACTGTCACGGATGGGTACTTTTGCCTCCTTCTATCTCTAACACACGGATCAATACATTGCACACAGTAGGTGTATACTGTGCGGTTTCTTATGATGAGTAAATCTAGCACGCTCCCATTGATAATGTTACCTAGTTTACATTTACAATACCTTTGATGCATGTCAGAATATTCTGGATATGCCGTAAGTACTCAGCCTTCTCTGCCTCGGTCTTATCGTATGAATTAGTTAACGAGACAGCACTATTGCCACTGAGGGGCGATACTATCTGACAGAGAGCTAGATACCTAAGCTATGATGGGTGAAAATATATATACATATATATATATATATATATATATGTATATATATATATATTAGTTAGCATAGCATAATTAAAGGTGGTACCAAGTATAGTATTTGAGATATTTTAAAAATCCAAAAATTGCAACATAAATTATACCACTCTAAGAAAATGACATTATTTTTTTTAAAAAAAGCTACAGAAATAGTTGGAAAACTAAAGCAAAACCCAGTTGAATTTCAAGGGAAAGAATAGCAAGTCAGAGAAAATTTCAACCAGATGCAAATAAAGCAAGAAACAAACAGGAAGAAAAAGTAGGGGGAAGTGAGGGCCGAGAAAGTGATTGTGTGGCAGTGAATTTTCAAGCCCCCCAGGCCTTTGTGAGGAAATTATTGTAGATAAATCACGGCACATTCTGGTTCTGGTTGCAGAGGAGGAGCAGTGTGGTCATTGAGAACCGGCCGGCGGCCAGGCAGAACCAGGGGTCAATAGCCACAGGATTTCCGATGTTTGTCTAATCATCGGATCACAGTAATTATCTGGGGATCTCGATAACAAAACAGATTCCTGGGTCCCCACACAGACCAACTAAATCAGAGTGTCTGGGGAAAGGCCTGAAACCCCACATTTTTACCAGGTGCTCCAGGTGACAGCTGTGATCCGGCGTACTTGGGGAACACTCGCAGAGCTAAGTATGGCTCAGGAAAGAACCCAGAAATAAAGAAAGAGGCTGGTCTTCTTTCAGACAGCCCCCAAAAATGTGCATTATATTCTTTGCTTAAAGAATCAGATTTCAAGCTAGATGATATTAGTTATAGGACAAGACTTGTTTTGTAAATGAAAGGCCTTAGTAAGTGTGCGTGTGTGCTACCCCGTTGGGGTGGTGCCTAGATTCTACACTTGTAGGTTCATGGAATTTCACACGCAGGATGAGTCACCAAGAAGGTCATCCTGTCAAACCCCCTCACTTGACAGGCAAGGATATGCCTCTGTGTGCCACTCGAGTTTGTAATCCTTGCACTTAAGAGCATGTATTTACAAGTATGCGTCTTTCACCCTCTTCTGAGTTTGGGAGAATTCTGGAGCCCACACCCTTAAACTATGGTCTGTGAATAAATTAAAGAAAGTTCAATTCTAACTTTCATAATCCACGACAGTAAGTCTTTGGAGGAAAGTTTGTTCATTAAATTCCACGAGTTTCAAGAATTCACGTGAACCCTAAGGAGCTCAAATATTGCTGATGTAATCTTGACATGCCTTTAGGAAATTAAGCCAAAATATCTGTGTCTGTGGCTGGCGCTTCAGGCTGGGGAAAATCATTCCTGGCCTCAGTGAATGGAAACATGTATAGGACGTACCCTCAGCCTCAGCCCCTCAGCCAGGCTTTGCCGCTATTCTCATGATAAAGAAAAACATTTGTCTGCATCCTTTTTCTTCTTGTCCACTCCTGATTCTCCTGAATTTCACTTTGAACCCCCAACACCTTGGGCCTCCTCGCAGGTTAAAGACAACTGGACTCAACCTGGGACCCAACACAAAAAAGAGCTGGGAGAGGAAGGGAAAGGTGCCAGAAAGACCCAGCAGAGCGTGTTAAGGAGACCCATGCAACTCACCTTCTCCCAGCCTTGGGCTACTTTTCCTGCAGTTTCTCGCTGTTCACACTTTTTCTTCCATTCCATAAGCCAAGAAAGAAGGCCCTTAGAGGAAAATGCAAGATATCTTTTTACAAATATCCTTCAACACCGCAGTTTATTGACACTGTCAGCCAAGCTGTGTTCCTCCAGTTTTCACTGCAACTCAAAAAGTGGGGAGGGGCCGGGTCCGTGGCCGAGTGGTTAAGTTCGCGCACTCCGCTGCGGCGGCCCAGGGTTCGGATCCTGGGCACACACATGGCACTGTTCGTCAGGCCACGTTGAGGCGGCATCCCACATCCCACAACCAGAAGGACCTGCAACTAAGATATACAACTGTGTACAGGGGGGGTTTGGGGAGATAAAGAAAAAAAAAAAAGTGGGGAACTTGCCTCACGGTTTTGTACCTAGACAGAGGGCAAGGCCCCCACTGCACGTCAAGGTTAGGATTCCAAATGCAGCACTGTGTTGCCCAGACCCACTTTTGGTGACACTTCCCATCCCTAATTCTAAGATGTGTGCATGTCATACCTAATTATGTAGGCTCTTTGGTTTGATGGTGCCGGGAGCTATTTTTTTGGAATTATGACAGCGTTGTGTCTTCTGCAGAATGCCAGCAATTGCATTTGTCTCTTATTTTCTGGCTAAGTATAAATGGGATGTATCAGATATATAACAATATCGACCATTTCCTCCTTATTTGTTTGGTCCCCCTCTTTGCTGGTTTTACACGCTCTGGGAATTTCAGTTCTTAGCCTTCTTTCAAATTTGTCCACATTTTTTTTTTCTTAAATCATCTTCAGAGGAAAACCAGGAGAAGTTTCAGTGGTCAAGTCTGGTCCTCTCACTGACTTCCACAGGGCCTTGCGGTCAGCCCTGGGGTAGGACGGGGAGCCCGTGGATTCGGAAGCTGTCTTTCTGGTTGAGATTCCAGCTCTGGCTCTTCCTTCCTGTCACTCTGGGTGATGACAACTCAACACCTCATTTGCCTCATCAATCTGGTAAAGACCACGATACCTAACTGAACCGTAAGGATGAGAGGCAAGGTACGTAAAAACCGTTTCACGGTGGATGTTGAACGCATGTTGGCTAAGGATAATGGGCATTTCTGCGTTTCAGCTCCCCATGTGACCCTTCCAGAGAAGGTCAATGGTCTGATCTGGCCCCTTCCTGCCTCCAGACCTCTCCTCCAGCTCCCCCTCAGCACAGGTCGCCCCGGCCTTATTTATTTCTGTTCTCTGCTCTGGCTGCACCCTGGCCTGGTGCTCTTCCATCTTATGCTGTCCCACTGGCTTCTCCAGGTCACGTAAACCTCATCTGACATTCAGTGCTGGGTTTGGTCTTCCCAACCACCCCATGATGTAGATACCATCATTCTCATCCCACAGATGACTAGACAAAGCAGGGAGGGATGGAGAAGGGAGGTACATAAGAAGATGGTTAGGGGTGATAATACAAACAGGCTGACACTAGTCCCAGCAATTTTGTCCAGAGTTCTCTTGATAGCTTCATGCCCCTGAAGAAGATGTCCATGATCCCTTTGGCTCAAGCACGACAGATGGCTCTGAGCACTGAGGGCAAAAGAAACCTCAGTTGAGCTAAGCCTTTGAGCTCAATGAAGATAAGATGTGTCTTTATATGGGCAGAACAGCAGCAGAACAGCAACTCAGCATGCGTGAGCCTAATCTTTCCAAACGAGAGGCAATCTTAACAGTCAGATTGGGTTAATGGCCACGTGCACAGAATACAGGACTAGCCCATCTCAGCTAAGAACCACGGTGTCCAGTCAGCATGGAAAACATGCTATTTTGAAAAATCTTGAAAATTTTACTTTGGTGTTGATAACTTTTCTCCCTCTATTATGGCCCATAAAATCCCATCTTGCAATCACCAATTTTAGGCAAATTTTCACGTTAAGTTTTGCCTTCTGTGATATCTGTTGTTTTCCTGTCCCCCTCACTGCCTTTCTTTTGGCAAGAGCCCCCAGCCCCTTGGGGAATTGCCTGTCTTCTCCATCCATCTCCCTCTGGGGTCATCACAGCCAGGCACTGTTGTCCCCTCATGGCCTGGATGAGGCTGGGCTGAAGGAGGAGAAAATGATGCCAAACACAAAGCAAGGCAGGATTGAGAGGAGACAGAATCCTGAAGAAGACGCAGGCATCCGGAGACAGACACACCAGCTCAGACTCCGTGCACCCAGTGACACACACTCAAGTCCTTACTCTCTATATCGCCTGCATCCCAGAGTCCTGGCTTTCAACTCTATTTTGTGGGTCCTGTATTTTTTCCACACACACTAAAAAAAGTGGCAGGAGATTATTTTTAATTTTTCCCCAGTTTTATTGAGACATAATTGGCATATAACATTGCATAAGTTTAAGACGTACAACATAACAATTTGATACGTGTATTTATTGCAAAATAATTACCCCACTAAATTGAGTTAAGATACATCACCTTGCAAAACTACAAACTTTTTTAGGGCCAGAAGTTTAAATTACAAAAGATGTCTTGTTGAGTTGAAGGCCTTTTATTTGCTAGAAGGACTAAATCTTAGGGAGAAACTTTTCTGTAGGGGATCACCTTGGATGATAAACCACAGTGATAGAATCTCTTCTTTTGGGGGAGTATTTGACCTATGACTTGAAGCTGGTAAAGATGGTGCTCTCTGCAAAGACCAGTAATTAAATCACTACTGTGTTTGTTGGGAAAGTTTGCCCTGAAGAAATTGTGCTTAGCTGGAGTTTTAGTGTTTTCCTGGAGGCGTCTTCTTTTCTGCTTGTGCATCTCAGTTTTATCCATCAATTCTACTTCCTCCTCTTCTTTATCTTCCTCATCTTTCTCCTTCTGCTCTTTCTTGTCGTTAGCTTCCTCCCTTCTTCTTCCTCTTCTCCTTTATCAGCACCTACTTGGTGAATCTCCCTGTGAGCTGAGGAGGGCTCAGCTCAAGTCTTTGCGATGCTCTCCTGCATGTCCAGGAGCTGTAAAGATAGAATGTTCTCCTTGCGGATCAACCACTTCCAACTGACGCCTTAAGTTGCTAGTGAGCTGGCATGCCATGGCCGCAGGTCAATTCTGGAATTACGATGAAGATTTCACACAGTTTCATGTTCTACATGCTTAACTGGCATTTTAAAGTTTGAAATAATCCTTTTCAAATCATAAAGTACGTGCTTCAAATGATTCATTGTCAGTTAAGGAATCATTGAATATTTCCCAATCTCTTCTAAGAGAGTCACACGTGCCTAAAAGGTCTTCAAATATTTTATTTCTTCCTTTACTCTAGAATTGTTTGTATCTCAGAGTTTATAAACACTCTCATATACTTTTGGATATTGCAGTCTAGATCTTAGGTCACTTACAATCTTTTCCTTTATTAGATGTTTCCATTGTCCCCACCCATTTTGGAATTTGGGCTGCACTCACATGGTCTGTCAGATCACCTCCATTTTCAAAAACTCGTTCTTGTTTGCAAGTCTTTTATGTGACCACCTCTTCAATCCAAGAACCATCTGATCCGCCATATCTGTACGAAGGTCTAATTGGTTTCTTCCAATCTCCAGAGGCGGAAAGCTTATTTGCCTCCAGTTTCTGTCTTAAACTGTTTATTTCTAGCTCATAAGAAGCTTGTCAACTGGCTTATGATGAGCACACTCTTCCCACAGGTTCTGCCCATCTTAAACCATATCCTCGGATCTTCCAAGGGAATCAATAAAACACCAAATTCCTTACTTGGAAACACACACGGAATATTGATTATAGCTGCAGCCAGCACTGTAATTTTGTTTTCAATCTGTCTTTACTAGTAACGCTATATACCGAAAAAAAAATAGAACGCATTCTATTTTTATCTTGGGATATATGACAGCCCCAGGTAAAGTTGGGGGGCAGGGTTGCCTTTTTAACTCCAAGATTTTTTAACTGTTAATTTTGAAAAAAAATTCAAACTTATACAAACTTACAGGAATAGCACAATGAATTCCCATATGTCCTTCAGCTAGATGTATCGATTGTAAACATTTTTTCACATTATGTGTCACATAAAATGCATGCTTTATCTCTCCCTTTCTCTCTCTTTACATACGTATATATGCATGTATACATGTAATTATAATATTATCATTACTTCATCATTTGAAAGTTACAGCCCTTTACCCCTAAATATTTCATTGTATATTTCCCAATAAAAAAGGTCATTCTCTTATACAATCTCAGTAGAATGACCAAATTTAGGAATTAAATTTGCTGTAACGCTATTATCTAATTTACAGACTAAATTCAAATTTCACCAATTGCTCCAATGTACTGGTAAAGTTATAATGTTTTAAGGATGTCTTGAGAACCAGTCAACTAAGATAAGGGGACATTAACTTGCTTTTGAAAATAAATCTATATCATAAAGATAAAAAAATGTCAGGTTCTATGGTGAGAAATAGACTCTACCAACAAGAATTATTTAGGTATTCAGAAAGCTACAGGAGTGATCACTTCAGTAAAACACACACTAAAATTGAAACAATGGAAAGAAGATTAGCATGGCTCCTGCAAAAGGATGACACACAAATTCATGAGCTGTTCGCTATTTTCTTCAGAAAGAAAAAAAAAATAGCTGAGTGTTATGGACCGAATTGTATTCCCCCAAAATTCATATGTTGAAGTCCCAGCCCTCAATGTGACATATCTGGAGACAGAATCTTTAAAAAGTAGTTAAGGTTAAGTGAGATCATAAGTGTGGGGCCCTAATCCAATAGGGCTAGTGTCCTTATAGGAAGAGGAGGAGATACAGGTGATGCTCACACAGAGGGAAGACCATGTGAGGACACAGAGAGAAAGCAGCCATCTGCAGGCCAGGAAGAGAACCCTCACCAAGAACCCATCCTGCTGGCACCTTAATCTTGGACTTGCAGACTCCAGACTGTGAGAAATAAATTTCTACTGTTTGAGCCACACAGTGGCATTCTGCTATAATAGCCCTAGACTGGGTAAAAAGAGAGGTTAAAATAATAGATTATCATTTTCATGAGTTTCTTAAATCAGATTGGATGGTTGAAGCAAATATGATAACACCATCTGATGTAGTGCTCAATGTATGTAGACAAAATATTTGGACAATTTTATTTAAAAAGTAGAAAGGGTTAAGGGATCTAAATGGAAGTAAACATTCAATACTTCACTCAAAGTTGTAAGATTTTGATACAAGGAAGCTATGATAAGTTACTTATATGTGTTGTAATATCTAGAACAGCAACTAAGAAAACTATACAAAGTGATATGATAAAAAAAATTACAAATAAATAAAATGGAATTCTAAAACATGCTGAGGTAATCCACAGAAAGGCAAGGAAAGAGAAACAGAGCAAGGAGAAACAGAGGGAAAAAACCAAAACAAATAATAAAATAGCAGCATCATAAATCCTAACCATTTATAATTACTCTAAACGTAAATGGTCTAAATACACCAACTAAACAACAGACAGCGGCAGAATAGATAGAAACATACAATCCAACTAAATGCTATCTACACAGAATTCACTTCAAACATAAGTACACAGCGAGTTTGAAAATAAAAGGATGAAAAAAGATATGCCATGCAAAAATCAAAAAAAGCAAGATTGGCTATGTTATAGCAGATAAAGTAGACTTTGGAGCAAAGAAAATTACTAGGGACAAATAGAGACATTACACAATGATTAAAGGACCAATTCACCAAAAAGATACAGCAGTCCTAAATATGTATGCACCAAACAATAGAGCTTCAAAATACAGGAAGGAAATATTGAAGGGAGAAAGAGACAAATTCATGTCCATAGTTGGGGACTTCATCACCCCTGTCTCAGCAATTGATAGAACCTCTAAACAGAAAATCAGCAAGGATATAGAAGAACTGAACACCATCAACCAAGATGATCTAATCAATATTTATAGACAGAAGAAAGATCTTCAAACATGTGGAAAGTAACCAACACACTCCTAAATAATCCATGGGTCCAAGAAGAAGTCTCAAAGAAAATTTTAAAATGCATTGAACTGGTGGAAAATTAAAACACAACATATCAAAATTTGCAAGATGCAGCTAAAGTAGGATTGGGAGGGAAATTTATAACACTAAATGCACACATTAAGAAAAGAGGAAAAGTCTCAAATAAGTTTTATAAGTTCTTACTGCATCTAACTAGGAAAAGAAGAGCAAAACAAATCCAAAGAAAGCAGAAGGAAGGACATAGTAAAGATAGTAGATAACTAAATAAAACTGAAAACAAAAAAAAAGAAGAAAAAATCCATCAAACAAAAGGTAGTTCTTGGGAAAAAAACTCAACAAAATATATAAGCCTCTCGCAAGACTGGCAAAAATAAAAAGATGTAAATCACAATAGCACCCAGAAAAAAGAAGAAGTACTTAGGAACAAATCTACCAGGCATGTACAAGATCTATATGGGGAAAACTACAAAACTCTGATGAAAGTAATCAAAGCAGATCGAAATAAATGGAGAGATTCCACATTCATGGGTGGGAAGACTCGATATCGTCAAGATGTCAGTTCTTTCCAACTTGATCTACAGATTCGATGCAATCCCAATTAAAAGCCCAGCAAGTCATTTCGTGAATATCAACAAACTGATTCTAAAGTTTATATGAAAAGGCAAAAGGTCCAGCAGTGCTAACACAATACTGAAGAAGAACAAAGTCAGAGGACTGACATTTCTCGACTTCGAGACTTACTATAAAGCCACAATTGTTAAGACGGTGTGGTATTGGAGAACAAACAGACAAACAGATCAATGGAACAGAAGAAAGAGCCCAGATATAGACCCACACAAATATAGGGAACTGATCTTTGATTAGGGGGCAAAGGCTATTCAACACAGAAAGGATAGTCTTTTCAACGAATAGTGCTGGAACAACTAAACATCTATATACCAAAAAAAAAAAAAAAAAATGGAATCTAGGCATTGACTTCATGTCTTTCACAAAAAATTAACTCAAACTGGATCACAGACCTAAATGTAAAATGATAATTTTATCTTTACCTTAAAGGATCTGGATTAGGCTTTTCTTTTTAACTCTCCACAAGGTAGCTATCTAGCAATCATTTGCTATCACATAAAAGATCAGCAAATTTGGAACGTTTTCTTTGCATAGAAGAAAAGCATATAATTTATCTATCATTGAAATGTTCCAAGTGCTCCACTTAGAAGTAACCAATAACCTCTTGAGCGGCATAGAAGTGTCATGGCCACAAGCCATGTCAAGACACATGTCACTATATATTTTACTTTTATTGTTAACTATACTAATGATATTCTGCATCATTTTGCCCGCTTCTGGGTTCCACTCATTTTGCCCAAGTTCACCTAGAATGATGCTATGAGTGAATTTCACATCTGATGCTATGTCTATAACCTACCCCAGAATCCTTCTCTATTCATTCCTGTCCAAGATGTCACTACCTTAGTGATTGTGTTTTCACTAATTCTCTGTAATTTTTTTAACTAAAGAAGTTATTTATTCTGAAGAATATATCTTCATCATATACACACATGGGGTAATATTCAAAATGTTTAAAACTGGTATTGCACAGGCACTTAACAATCGGACCAGCAGCTGGATTGTGGAGCGTTCTGGGGAGTGGATGGGGGGAAGCTCCCTTGGGGCTGAAGCTGTTCACTGTTCACCCACATGCACAGAAGTATTTCCACGTGTCAACAACTCCAACGGTTATACCCACACATTCAGACGGATGGTCACCCCTAGGTAAACATAGATCTCATTACAAAAACAGATGCTGGTGAATGCATGAACTGAGACCCATCAGGACTCCTGAACTTCTTGTGAAATATGACAAAATTCTCCCACTGAAAATTTCTTGGAATACTAGTTTTTTCAGATCTTCAGCCAGATTTCCTAAACGTCACCCAGCAGCATACGCTTCAGGAATACATTTTCGTTTGTCACCTTACTGCTTTCTGTATGTCATTTTGGTCATTTTTGTTCTCAGCCGGAGGACAAAGTTCCCACCAATGACCCATGACTTTTTCATCTTTCTCTAAGAAAGAAGCCTCACAGGAGAGGCTTCTCAATGACCATCATTAGGTTTAGTAAAACTTTGTAAAGTATTGGATGCAATAGTGCATGATTTTCATGTCACTGAGAACTATAGCAGTGGGAACTTTCAAAGTTCCCAATTTTTTTTTTTTTTTTTTTTGGTGAAGAAGATTATCCCTGAGTTAACATTTGTTGCCAATCTTCCTCTTTTTGCTTAAGGAAGATTGTCCCTGAGCTCATATCTGTGCCAATCTTCCTCTAATTTGTATGTGGGTTGCTGCCCCAGCATGGCTTGACAAGCAGTATGTAGGTCTGTGCCTGGGATCTGAACCCACGAACTCCAGGTTGCTTAAATATCTTGCTAAGTCACGAAAGTATCAGAGGAGTTTGAGCTAGTTTCTCAAATCACAATGTGCACCGAGGGGCAAGTCTGTCTGAGGGGGAGGATGGGAGAAAATCTACACAATCGGTGGTGTTTTTGTCATTGTTTCTTTCTGAATTACCTCTGATTAGATCTTGCTGTCAAGCCACCTTTTCATGAGGGTGGCCAAGAGCTCATCCTGGGTCCCAGAAATGGCCTCCTCTGCCATTTCCTTGTGGTTTTGTATCATCACCAATGTGTGGATAAGCAAAATATGTTAAATCCACTTAACCAAACACACAAAAACTGCAGCGTGTCCCAAAGAGCTGAAGCGAGTGACGCGAGGACCCTCTGTCCCACTGGGTGGTCTCAGGATACTTCACCTATCGGTATGAATTCTTTTGGTTAAAGAACCCCCAGGGCGGGCCCCATGGCCCAGTGGTTAAGTTCCTCAGCTCTCCTTGGGTGGCCCGGGGTTTCCCCTGTCTGGATCCTGGGCGTGGACATGGCACCGCTCATCAGGCCATGCTGAGGCGGCGTCCCACATAGCAGACACTAGCCACCCTGGCGCTGTGTGACAGCTGTGTGACACATGGGACAGTGTGCCAGCCAGAGATGGCGTGTATATTAAATACTGGTTATGCTTACCTCCTTTTTTATGTTTAGAAAAAAAACACGAACGAATAGAGTAGTTTTCTCCCTCCCCTAAATGGGTACTTTTGAGCAGCCTATTTTGGAGAACGCCAACTCACATTCTTGAATTTCAGGACTGTGTCTTCCTGGCAGGGGAGGGAGATCTTGCCTAAATCCCACTGGCAGGGTGGCCAGCCCCCTCTGAACCAAGAACATGATGCTTCTCTGCACAGACCTGCGTGTGAAATACTACGGGCTGGGGACCGATTCCGCTCCTTACGTGTATAAGCGAACCTGCCGTATTTGGGGGAGATACAAAAGGAACATAAGTTTTCTGCCCTGTAGGGGTTTGCAACGAGCTGGGAAGAGAAGACAGAGGTGACTGGCAATGCCAGGTGGGCCCCAATAAAGGGCAACATGAGGGGGATTGGAGGTAGTTTGGGCTGTAGGAGGAATGGGAAGGTGGGAAGCAGTGGGAAGAGGCAGGGTGGCTTTGAAGGGAATGCTTTGAACAGGTGAGGGAAAAAAAGAAGGAACGAGTGGCGGGGG